TCCTTTACAAATATTGATTTAACCTCATTTGCTTTTGGAATTATTTCGTTATTGTGGCATAATCAACGGTATGTAAGTGGTGTCTACTACACACTTCTTTTTATTAACATTGTAAAAGGTTAGTTTGAGAAAGATGATCACAAAACAGCCATAGTACCATAGACACAATGACATTAAGCACACAACTAAATTTAAGAGCTTGACGATGCTACTTACTAATTCTTTGACGTAGAAATGCTAAATGACTGTAACATGCAATATGATATATCTGTATTCCCACATATAAAAGCACTCCGGTATAATAGTTTCACCCCCTCTCAGCATATTTCTTTTATGTGCACTGTACAATGTTAATTTGAGAAAGACGATCACAAAAACGGCTAGATGTACTGATACAGGTGTCAAGGTGACTTTCAAACAGGTGCTTGTTACTTAACAGTATTACCTACATCTACCGTAGCATAAATAAATACGCTGACAAATCATATTCCCTTTAAAATTTTGTTTCTTCTCATTTTACATTTAAATGTACTTTGTTTTCTAAAAGTTTATCATGTATAGATACGTATACAAAATGTGTATATTATACATATATGCCAAATTATGGATGCTTAGCAGTTATATATCTTTTTACCAGAGATACTTTAAATCAAATTTTATTTTCGATTTTTGATAAGACATGTGATATATTTGTTTGATGATTGCCTGAATTATGATAAAACGTCTTTATAGTTATCCTTAATTTCATTTTAGTTATCCTTAACTTCATACACCAGTGTTTGTATGTGTATGTGTTCATGTTGGATCCCTATGGGTTCTAATCAACTTATTAATTTCTATACGCTATTAATACATACGTATACTGGAAAACATCACATGTCTTATGAATTACTGGGGAGACATATATGATGACAATCAAAAGAGTATCTAGGGGAGATTTGTTTTGTATGTAGGTTGGCAATAGTCCTCTAATACTGTTGCAATGCGATGGTAGCTGGGGGAACAGAACACACAATACATATGCTGATAGAATAAATGTATATCTAGATAATATTTGGTCTGAAACATAATTCGACACCTATGGACTTGGGGGCGTGACCCCAAAAGGGAAAAGTTAGACGATATTTTGCTTCAAAATGATACTCCTTCTTAATACCTTGGGAGAGTTCAATCAAATTTGGACTGAACCATTATCAGGTACTGCCAATGATATCAAATAAACATGAAGTGATCCCGAGATTGTCCTGACCAAATCTTATTTTTACGCTTTGGTCTAAAATTTAACATAACTCATCTAGAACAAATAGTCTGAACTTCTCATGTTTCATTCACACCAATGAGAAAAATATTTAGAGTTTGATTTTTAAAAAAATAAAGAAATGATTCGCTGTTACTTTTCGGTCTGATCAAAACTATAACATGGGTACCAAGTAGTTATTTTGTCACATGATGTAGCAACTGTATTTAATGCACAGAATCTACCATTTATGAGTTTGTGATACTTTCAAGGAATGTTCAAAATTTGCATTCATCAGATTTGTCAGACCACCATCAGCGAATTCCACGGTTTGTCCATCCGTTCATCAATTGTCAGATGATCGTTAAGGGCCATGGCCCTCTTGTGTCCAAATTTGGTCTGAATCATGTTTAGGTGAAGAGGAATCAATTTTGTATAAACAATGGATCTCGCTCCCTCCAGCTGTAGGAAAAATTGGATTTTGTCCAAATTTGGTCTGATTTGTGATTAGGTGACGGGGAAGTAATTTTGTATAATTTGTAAATCTCTGCCCCCTTGGGCAGGAGGAGAGGGACTCAATAGGGGAAATGTATATGGTAGCAGTTTAGATCCCCATTCCATAACCATGCTTAGCATTGCTAGGCATAATGAGATAAACACATTTGTGGTGTAAGAATTGGCCATGGGGTCAGGCCCCACTCTTCGGGACTCAGTTTCATAGTAATATCTTTGAAATAGTTGATATCCCCACCTCTACCTGGCAATGTTGAGTATCAAAAGATAAGAACTAGCTCTTGGGTGTGGCCCCACTTTTCAGGACTTCATTTCTAAGTGATACCTTTGAAACAGTTGAAATCCCCATCCCGTAACCATAACCACTTCAAGGGACATTATTTCTCGGTCATATTTTTATATATATATATACCCACTCTTACTGAGAATCAAAAGAGAAAAACAGTAATGATAAAAGAATACACAAGCTATGGACCTCTTGTTCTCCTTTCGCTATCAAATTGGTATGAACATTTGTCAGTTCTTGCCATAGTAGCATCAACTGAATGAAAGTGAAATTTTAATACGAGATACACAATGTGATGCTGACCTAGATGAATAGGGGTGAATTTCATGAGGAGATGTAAAATGGACTATGGAGGATGATAAGTTTTAACATTTTGCTATCATGCATCATCCTTCGCCCACTAATTTTTCCTTTAAAACGCTACCCCTGCTTAATGCAAGGGTGGATTTGAACCTGTTTAAAACATCATTTGGAGTGTGGAATTATTTTCCTAAAACAGAGAGTTGATTCGACCCCTATAGACCTAGGGATAGGGCCCCAAAATGATAGTCAGAAAATAGTTTGCTTCAAAATTCTATTCTTACTTAATGCTTGATTGGATTTCATTCAAATTTTGTCGGTAAAGTAGGCAAATTAATTCTTCAATTCAGAAAGTTGATTTGACACATAAGGACTAAGGGGTGGGACCCCAAAAGGGGAAGTTAGTCAATATTTTGCTTCATCCTTTAGACCAAATTTGGACAATATCCTGCAATCCTTAAAGAACAAGATAGATTTTTAAGTAATTGATAGATTTTCCCTGCTTGGTCCTGCCCCTTAGGCCCCAGGGGTCCAAGACCCACCATTTACACAAAATTTGTTCCCCTCCCCACAAGGATGTTTCCGACTACATTTGATTAAGATCTGCTCGGTTGTTCATGACTAGTTTCAATTTATAGGAAAAGTTGACAGACGACAGAAGACGGACGCTGTGGCATCCCTATTGCTCACTTGGTCCTCTGGGCCAGGTGAGCTAGCAATACTGTATCTTTTTCTGAACATTCTAACAAATTCTTAAAATTGCTTCCAACAGGACAGAATACCCATTTCTAAGAGCTATGTATGAAGGAGGTCAAATAGGCCTGAAATAAATTGCTCAACTACTCTACAGCTTACATAGAAGACTTTGAATGGTTCATAAAGACGTTTTCTGCAAACTTGAAATCATATTCTTTATACATGCACTACACAAATGCCATTGCTATGGACATACTGCTTATCGTAAAAGCATACTATAGGCCCAATATGAAAACCCTTGGCCTTTTGGTTATTGAAAAGTAGTTACTAATGCATTTCAACACATTTTACCCCTGTGACCTTGACAGTAGATCAAGCTGAACAAACTTGGTAGTCCTTTATCCTAGCATGCTACAGGTCCAATATCAGAACCATTGACCTGTTGATTATTGAGAAGTTGTTTAAAAGATTTTGAAACATTTCACCCTTTGACCTTGAAAGCAGGTCAAAGTTAATCATATTTAAAACTTAGGAGCCCTACATCCTAGCATGATGCTGGCCTAATATCTACCTGGGTCTTTTTGTTATTGAGAAGAAGATGCTTAGATATTTAAACATATCTAGCCTCTGGGACCTAGAAAATAAGACAAGGTAGTTCATTTCAACAAACTTCTTTGTCCTAAATCCAAGCATGCTTAAGGCCTAATACCAGCACTTTGGGCATTTTGGTTATTGAGAAGAAGTTGTTTAAAGATTTTGACATATTTGATATGCTGATCTTTGAGAGTAGGTCAAGGTAAGTAATATGTTAAAACCCTAGCCCTTCACCCTAGCATGCAAAAGACCCAATATCAGCATCCTGTGCCTTCTGGTTATTGAGATGAAGTCATTTCAATGAAAAGTTTATGCATAGTGGATGATGACGGAAGAAACACAATTGCTATAGGTCATCCTGACCTAATAATACTATACATATGTATACATCAATTCAATAGAGGTAACAATGATGCTTTGGACAAAACTGAGCACTGAGTGACAAGAGGCCCAGAGGGCCTGTATCACTCACCTGGATCTTTATGACTAACAGTACTATATCTGTGCATATGTTCCATGTTAAACACATTTGACCCCTGTGACCTTGACTATGGGTCAAGGTCATTTCTTTTCGCAAACTTTCTTGGACTTCAGCAAAGGAACATACTGGCCAAATATACTGATTCCAGGCTTTTCGATATTTCAGAGAAATTGCTTAAAGTTTTAAACACATTTGACCCCTGTAACCTTGAAGATGGTCAAGGTCATTTCTTTCAGCAAACTTTGTAGAACACCATAAGAGGAACATAGCCTAATATAATGATTCTAGGCCTTCCGGTATTTGGGGAGAAGTCATTTAAAGGTTTTAACACATTTGATGAATTCTGCTACCTTGACTATGGGTCAAGGTCATTTCTTTTCGCAAAATTTGTTGGGCTTCAGCAAAGGAACCTTCCAGCCATATTTAATTATTCTAGGCCTCCCAGTAGTTTGGAAGAAGTCGCTTAAAGTATTTAACACATTTGCCCTCTGTGACCTTGAAAATTGGACAACGTTTTTTTCGCAAACTTTGTTAAGCTTCATCAAAGGAACCTTCCAGTCAAATATAATGATTCTAGGCCTTCCAGTATTTTGGAAGAAGTCATTTAAAGGTTTCAACACATTTGACCTCTGTGACCTTGAATATGGGTCACGGTAATTTCTTTTTGCAAACTTTGTTGGGCTTCATCAAAGGAACATTCCAGCCAAATATGATAAATCTACGCCTTGCGGTATTTCAGAAGAAATTGTTTAAATGAAAAGTTGATGGATGCAGGAAGGACGGCCGGACGGACGACGGACAGATGATGGGACAGACGGACACCAGACGCTGCAGTATGGCATAACCTCACTTTGCCATTTGGGCCAGGTGAGCTAAAAATAATGAGAATGAAATCAGAATGCAAAAAGGATTTTATTTTCTGATGCAAAACTCTTAAATAAAATAAAACATATATTGACTTTTCAAGATTCTGTCTTTTATGTTCATCTGATGACAATACTTTGAACCTTATTTCTCAAGTTTCTGATTCGCTAATGTATTAAAACTTCTTCCAATCAGATTTGTTATATTTTCTTTGAGCTTAGAAAAATACAGATACGTAAAGACAAGACATGCATGACTTATTTTGTCAGCATTTGATCAGATTTACAGCAAAATGTAAGACCGAGTTTCTGTGTTACATCATGATAACAAGCATTCCTCTGTGTGTTCAGAGTAATACCAACTTCCATTTAATCTCTCTGTTGTCAAATTAACAAATTAAATATAACTTAAAGTAAATTTTTCTTCAACATGTTACAGTCATTAAACTGGAGAATACAAGAAGATACACGGTTTCCATCACATCTGTTGGGAGATCAAATAATCCTGAGATTCTTGGAGAATGGAATGTCCATCCTCTTTCATCACAAAAGTCCATCATAAGATCACAGACTTATTGTCATTAACACAATAGACCATCACAGATATTACACAGAAGTGCATCACATCATGGTCACATGACTTTAGGATTTTCCTCGAAAAGGTCTTGTTAGAAACTTCATGTTGCTAATGCAGCTTCCTTTCTGGACTTCAAAATGTTTTTTAGAAAAAACTCCCCTAAAAACAGAATAAACAATGGAATAAGGGAGAAGAGATTATTAAAATTACAAAACATTAAATTCTTCAAAGAAAATTTGAAATATTCTGTCCAATTTTGGAACCACTTTCTATAACAAATTCAATATTTTTTAACCAACTAAGTCGAGAACTAAAATTCTACATGAAATTATATGGTAATAATATTTCAGAATTAGGTTTATAAAAGTGAAAAAGTTGTTATGACATCAACTATCTTTATATGCGAGTAACAGCAAATATTCCAGTTCAGTGTACAAACTCTTTCAGAGCTTGTTCTTATAATATAGTTTTTGGTAAAATTTTTTTTGCAAGATACATTATCATTATTGTTTCCAAAAATTTCATATCACATCATTTAAACAAACATAATGAGTAGAAATTACTTTGTGCCACTGACAACCTACAAACCTCTGATTTTCTTGCATAATGGTTCATTTACATAGATGTCAACTTTTCCAAAAGCCTAACAATGACCACACGCCCTTCAGAAATGAAGAACACTACAATTCTATTTTTAAACTTCTGGCAAAATCATTGAATTTTATACTTATTTTACGAAAGAGAAATGTTTGAAATATAACTTTGTAGTGATGTTATTAAAGGAAAATTTAAAGAATTTAATAAAGGAGTGGTGACCAGTTTTGTAGGACAGAATTTAAAAGACCTGACCAGTTCTCTAGGAAAAAGATTTTTATGTACTGACTAGTTCTGTAGGTTAAAAAGTTAAAAGTACTGACCAGTTCTATAGGATAAAGAGTTAAATGTACTGACCAGCTCTCTAGGATAAAGAGTTACCTGGGGTTGGGGGTGGGGGTGTAAATGTACTGACCAGCTCTCTAGGATAAAGAGTTAAAAGTACTGACCAGTTCTCCAGGATAAAGAGTTAAAAGAACTGACCAGTTCTCTAGGATAAAGAGTTAAATGTTCTGACCAGTTCTCTAGGATAAAGAGTTAAAAGTACTGACCAGTTCTCTAGGATAAAGAGTTAAAAGTACAGACCAGTTCTCAAGAGTTAAAAGTACTGACCAGTCCTATAGGATAAAGAGTTAAAAGTACTGACCAGTTCTCTAGGATAAAGAGTTTTATGTACTGACCAGTTCTCTAGGATAAAGAGTTAAAAGTACTGACCAGTTCTCTAGGATAAAGAGTTAAAAGTATTGACCAGTTCTCAAGGATAAAGAGTTAAAAGTACTGACCAGTTCTCTAGGATAAAGAGTTAAAAGTACTGACCAGTTCTCTAGGATAAAGAGTTAAAAGTACTGACCAGTTCTCTAGGATAAAGAGTTTTATGTACTGACCAGTTCTCTAGGATAAAGAGTTAAAAGTACTGACCAGTTCTCTAGGATAAAGAGTTAAAAGTACTGACCAGTTCTCTAGGATAATGAGTTTAATGTACTGACCAGTTCTGTTGGATAAAGAGTTAAAAGTACTGACCAGTTCTCTAGGATAAAGAGTTAAAAGTACTGACCAGTTCTCTAGGATAAAGAGTTAAAAGTACTGACCAGTTCTCTAGGATAAAGAGTTAAAAGTACTGACCAGTTCTCTAGGATAAAGAGTTAAAAGTACTGACCAGTTCTCTAGGATAAAGAGTTAAAAGTACTGACCAGTTCTCTAGGATAAAGAGTTAAAAGTACTGACCAGTTCTCTAGGATAAAGAGTTAAAAGTACTGACCAGTTCTCTAGGATAAAGAGTTAAAAGTACTGACCAGTTCTCTAGGATAAAGAGTTAAAAGTACTGACCAGTTCTCTAGGATAAAGAGTTAAAAGTACTGACCAGTTCTCTAGGATAAAGAGTTTTATGTACTGACCAGTTCTCTAGGATAAAGAGTTAAAAGTACTGACCAGTTCTCTAGGATAAAGAGTTAAAAGTACTGACCAGTTCTCTAGGATAAAGAGTTAAAAGTTCTGACCAGTTCTCTAGGATAAAGACTTAAAAGTACTGACCAGTTCTCTAGGATAAAGACTTAAAAGTACTGACCAGTTCTCTAGGATAAAGAGTTTTATGTACTGACCAGTTCTCTAGGATAAAGAGTTAAAAGTACTGACCAGTTCTCTAGGATAAAGAGTTAAAAGTACTGACCAGTTCTCTAGGATAAAGAGTTAAAAGTACTGACCAGTTCTCTAGGATAAAGAGTTAAAAGTACTGACCAGTTCTCTAGGATAAAGAGTTAAAAGTACTGACCAGTTCTCTAGGATAAAGAGTTAAAAGTACTGACCAGTTCTCTAGGATAAAGAGTTAAAAGTACTGACCAGTTCTCTAAAGAGTTAAAAGTACTGACCAGTTCTCAAGGATAAAGAGTTAAAAGTACTGACCAGTTCTCTAGGATAGAGAGTTAAAAGTACTGACCAGTTCTCTAGGATAAAGAGTTAAAAGTACTGACCAGTTCTCTAGGATAAAGAGTTAAAAGTACTGACCAGTTCTCTAGGATAAAGAGTTAAAAGTTCTGACCAGTTCTCTAGGATAAAGAGTTAAAAGTACTGACCAGTTCTCAAGGATAAAGAGTTAAAAGTACTGACCAGTTCTCTAGGATAAAGAGTTTTATGTACTGACCAGTTCTCTAGGATAAAGAGTTAAAAGTACTGACCAGTTCTCTAGGATAAAGAGTTAAAAGTACTGACCAGTTCTCTAGGATAAAGAGTTAAAAGTACTGACCAGTTCTCTAGGATAAAGAGTTAAAAGTACTGACCAGTTCTCTAAAGAGATAGGATAAAGAGTTAAAAGTACTGACCAGTTCTCTAGGATAAAGAGTTAAAATTACTGACCAGTTCTCTAGGATAATGTGTTAAAATTTCTGACCAGTTCTCTAGTTTACTGACCAGTTCTCTAGGATAAAGAGTTAAAAGTACTGACCAGTTCTCTAGGATAAAGAGTTAAAAGTACTTCTCTAGACCAGTTCTCTAGGATAAAGAGTTAAAAGTACTGACCAGTTCTCTAGGATAAAGAGTTAAAAGTACTGACCAGTTCTCTAGGATAAAGAGTTAAAAGTACTGACCAGTTCTCTAGGATAAAGAGTTAAAAGTACTGACCAGTTCTCTAGGATAAAGAGTTAAAAGTACTGACCAGTTCTCTAGGATAAAGAGTTAAAAGTACTGACCAGTTCTCTAGGATAAAGAGTTAAAAGTACTGACCAGTTCTCTAGGATAAAGAGTTAAAAGTACTGACCAGTTCTCTAGGATAAAGAGTTAAATGTACTGACCAGTTCTCTAGGATAAATTGTTAAATGTACTGACCAGTTCTCTAGGATAAAGAGTTAAAAGTTCTGACCAGTTCTCTAGGATAAAGAGTTAAAAGTATTGACCAGTTCTCAAGGATAAAGAGTTAAAAGTATAAAGAGTTAAAAGTACTGACCAGTTCTCTAGGATAAAGAGTTAAAAGTACTGACCAGTTCTCTAGGATAAAGAGTTAAAAGTACTGACCAGTTCTCTAGGATAAAGAGTTAAAAGTACTGACCAGTTCTCTAGGATAAAGAGTTAAAAGTACTGACCAGTTCTCTAGGATAAAGAGTTAAAAGTTCTGACCAGTTTTCTAGGATAATGAGTTTAATGTACTGACCAGTTCTGTAGATTAAAAAGTTAAAAAGTACTGACCAGTTCTATAGGATAAAGAGTTAAAAGTACTGACCAGTTCTCTAGGATAAAGAGTTTAAAGTAATGACCAGTTCTGTAGATTAAAAAGTTAAAAGTACTGACCAGTTCTCTAGGATAAAGAGTTAAAAGTACTGACCAGTTCTCCAGGATAAAGAGTTAAAAGTACTGACCAGTTCTCCAGGATAAAGAGTTAAAAGTACTGACCAGTTCTCTAGGATAAAGACTTAAAAGTACTGACCAGTTCTCTAGGATAAAGACTTAAAAGTACTGACCAGTCCTATAGGATAAAGAGTTTTATGTACTGCCCAGTTCTCTAGGATAAAGTGTTAAATGTACTGACCAGCTCTCTAGGATAAATTGTTAAATGTACTGACCAGTTCTCTAGGATAAATTGTTAAATGTACTGACCAGCTCTCTAGGATAAATTGTTAAATGTACTGATCAGTTCTCTAGGATAAAGAGTTAAAAGTACTGACCAGCCTTGTAGGATGATCTGACCAGTGGTCCACTGGCTGTGTAGGCAAAGCCAAGCTGACCTCCAATCTCCTCCCAGTATTTGAACTTGTCAGGATGAACATACTCTTTGACCTTTAACGACAAAAAAACAGTAGTGATTAAGCTGAACAGTCTTCTGTTTGGAATTATTGTCTAAATGTTTTTCTTTTAAGATAACCAAGAACACATCATAACTATTCTTTCTATATATTGCAAAATTTTACAACAATTTTCAACTGAACTACATTGAAGAACTTTAATGAAAGGCATAAAATCATGGCCATTTTAAAGGATAGATTTCCCTCATTGGGCCCTGTAAGAGGGTTTTCTGAAGTCTTGTTTTTTTTCATATATCAATACAGCTTGTACCGGTATATACAAAAATAAAGTTACAATAAACTTAAGTTTCCTGTAACTGATCCGTATGAGAGTAAATAAACATTTCATCACAATTTGAAAAAATACTTGAAGTTACTTTATTTCCAATCTGTTTACAAGGCAATTAATTTAGATATTTGAGTATTAATTGTCAGAGATTTCACTAAATTTATCAATATGATACAATTGTATCTTGGTATCGGTTTCCGGCAAATGTATGTTTATATTACTATATGAAAGATATGAATGCATAGATGATTTCAGATGTAAACACAGAATATTAGCTAAATATGTATTCATGACAGTGTGCCAATTTTCTCTTCCCTACATTTAAAATTTTGATTGTATATTTTGTTTCACCTTCATTTTTTTCTCTTTTTTTTCTCCTGTAACCTTTCATTTTGTACATCTATCACTCTTCTCTTTCACAAAACAACAGCATACTTTATGGTAATTACAGCTGTGAAATCACTAAAATTATATGCTTTGGACAATTTAACGTAAAAAATCAGAGGTACACATTAGCAGCACAACTACTCCTCATGAACATGTGTCTCTCTATTTCTGTTCTACACACTTTCTCTATTTTCTTTCCTACATTCTTCAGCTGTCTTCATTCATTGCATTCTCTCAAAAAGGCACAATAAGGGGGAAAATATTGCTAAAAATAGATCTGGAAATAGATAAAGGGAATAGGCTTTTATCAGCTACTTCACAGGGTTTAGGCAACAAATTTGAATACAAAGACGTGTTTGAGTATTTAAAAAGCAAACATTATAATATCTAATGTCTTCAAGACACTCATTTTACAGATGAAAATAAGGAATATATAAGAAATGAATGTGGCTATTCATGTCTTTATTCTGAATTTATGAGCTGTAATTCTGTTAAATAACAATTTTGAAGTTAAGGTTATCAAAGTGGGAAAAAAAAGATAGACCTGGGAATTTTCTAATTTTCTAGCATTTAATTCGAAAATTAAAAGTACAAGTACTATAGTCATACTAATTATGGTCCCAATATTGATGATCCTGTTTTTACAATCAAATAGAACATAAATCATTTGAGCTCAAGATTGAGAAGTGTACCGATTGTGGTGATTTCAACATGATCCTAAAATCCAGCATTACATTATGATAAACGTTACAAAATGATACACAATCCCTAGACCAAGGAATATAATCACAAACATTAAATTGCTATACATGTACTACCTCCTTGTAAATCATGTAAAAAAAACCTGGAGGTGCAGATCTGATATTTTCTATTAATGATTTTATGATTCTTCTTATTAAAAAGGAAACAACATCACTAATAGTGAGATAGTATTAAGAAAGCTACTGTATATCACTTGTATCTTGTGTGGGATTTATTTTTGTGTTAATATGCGAGGAAAGTAATCTGCAAATTTAAATCCCTCCCAATTATTTTAACTTTTTACGGAAAGGGAAAAAGAAAACATTTTAGAGAGGTGTAGCTGTTCAAACTCACATTGAAGGAGGTTTGAAAATGATTCATGTTAAAATACAGTGAAGCTCTGAGATAGGGTGTATTGCGAGGTTTTTTAAAATGTTCAGATGTTGTCTAACTGTGGTAATGGATAAGTGTGCTCAGCAGAAACTAAACTTAAGAATATTATATTTTAGACTTGGTATAATTTTCAGGTAAATGATGAACTTCTTTGGAATAAGTGAATACTTCAAACAGCTTTCTGGTTTAAAGATGTATTTTTTTGACGTAAAATGAAATTCCAACATAATATCTTGGACTTTTTTTGTGTTCTAACACTTTGTTATCTATAGTTGTACTTACAGAGGGCAATTTTTATGATGCTGTGAAGAAATTTTTGCTAGTGAATTACTTTTTCAGACAGCATAGTTGACAGTGTGATTTGATGAACAGCATTATCAGTGTTATCCTTTTCTGGTTGCAAATATACTTCTCTCTTGAGTTTAACTCTATAAGACCATGGTAGATTTCAATTTAATTTTTATCACTATTAATTACCTATTTCATATTCGTGAATTCTGTCATGGCGGACCACTTTCCAGGGTTTTTATGACCTGAACAAAAATATTTTTACTTGTTGCTTGATCTTCAAAAAATGGGCTACTTAGGTGAAAATAGCAAAGATATAGCATGCAGAGCCCCTCGTTTTCAATCATATCTAGTATCCTCAAACTTTTCTACTCAAACATAAAGTAATCAAAAAAAACAAAAAAAAATTTAACACTAGAAGTTGGTCAAATAAATGAATTAAGTTGTTTCAAAACGTTTTCATTTGTTGGTTGCTATGCAGTTTAAGGCTCACCACAAACCTAATAAACACCATAGAAAATGACCGAGATTCAGAGTTACCTAAAGATGTGTACCAGTACTTCACCTTAATGTCAGTCTGAATTAATTACCTTTAAATGTCTCTTTGTTGGCTGCATATATTGACCCAGTGTCAAGCAATCAACATCTATCTTTCTAAGATCTGAAAATCAAAAAAATGATTTTTACATGGCAAGGAAGAGAACTCCATCCTTACAAAACTACAAAACCAATGTCACCCAGGTAAATACTATAATATATTGCTATGCTGGTGAACTTCTAAGAAGCTAAACAAGAGACCAGATGGAATCTTAGAGCTCATCATTGTTTGATCTTTATTTGTTCTTCAGAAGCTTGGATATTTTCCCTTCTTTTCACTTCTTCCCTCTGTTTTGACCTAAATCATATGGAATTAATAAAAAGAAGTATAGCAATAATAATCTTTTACTGCAAAAAAATCATGATGGCTGCATGTATGCCATGTTTGTTTTTCAAACTCATCCCAAAATCAAATTTGAGAAAAATCCATCCAGTACTACCAAAGAAATGATAACAAACTTACATAGTCAAAAGCAAAGATGGCCACCTATTAGTAATTTTTTAAATTCAGTTTTTTTTTTATCAGTCCCAGAAGCAAGCAAACAGACACAACTAAGAACAGTGGGAAAACTGCATATGAAATTTGAGAAAGATCCACCCAGTACTTCTCAAGAAATAGCAATAACAAACTTTCATAATGAACATTCAAGATGGCCACCTGTAAGTCATTTTGTTTTTTGATCAGTCCTAAAATCAAAAAGACACAACAAAGGACAAAGAGAAGACTACAAATAAAACTTGAGAAAAAAAATATCCTGTACTCTACCAGAAAATGTGATAATAGAAATTTAATATGTCAGAACTATAGAAATGACAATGGTATCATTATATTTGAGACAATAAAAATGATGACAGATATTTTGATGGACACTTCAAACTTATTTTACACAGAAAAAGTAACTAGATTTAATTTTCAAAAAACATTTCCTTGATTCTATTTTTCATCTTGACCAAGCTATATAAAAATTGAGACTTTATCACTACATCTGCTTAACTGGAATTTCATCAATATTCTACATTTAATACAAGGAGAAGTATGTTTGATGATCAAACCTTCTAGCACACTCATGATCTGATCATCTGTCTCTCCAAGGCCCAACATGATGGATGTTTTCGTGACCATATCTGGTTTGAATGTCTTCACATGTTCAAGAACCTTGAGTGACTGTTTGTAATTCGCTCGTGGGTCTCGCACCAACCTGTAACAAAAGAATGATTTCATTAATCACACTGTGGTAGTTTAATTAATATAAAAATAAACATACTGTGCTTACATTAAACATACTAAGACACTTACCTGTTATTCAGGTTCAGTAATACAAGTCAAGAATTGATTTGAAGAATGCATAAGCAGTCGTTGTAGACGTTGAAGTCAATTAAACCTATTTCTATTATTCTGATAACAAAACTAAGACATTATCAAACATGATTACAAAAATGCCATATAAACAAGTTTGCAATTTCAATTACTCCAAAACATCATTCTTCTAACCTACCATTGCAATTCTGCCACAGTTTCAACGTTGTGTGCATAGACATCAAGGCCTGAGTCGGCTACAATTTCCACACAGTTCAAATCACCACGGAAGTCAGGCGTCAGACATTCCACCAACATATCTTTACTGTTTTAATTATAGGAGAAACAAGCTTGTTGAATACCAGGAATTGCTAAAGCAATACAGAGGACGAGCCTCCCACAAACTATAACATTCTAATCTCCATATGGATATTACCCTTTTGTGTAAAAATGTATTTTAACATGATTAGGATTTTTACTTGGTAGTGTCCATATCAACTAGGAGTCTTTAATTCTTAAAGCAATCAAAAGTGAAAATAAGATCGGTATACCAAGTTCTCATTTCAGAATATGACATTACATACATGAATTGACCATGACTTACACAGTGAGTGTTGTCAGTGAAGCAGAAGATGCTTATTTCTCCAGAACATCTGGTCTTATTCGAATTGTATTTTTGCAGGAGTCTCTGTGTAAATCTTTCTTTTGTGCATATTTAGTCCTAGTTGTATTGAATTTGAGTTTGGTTTGGATGATATTGACGTGTTAGCATTTTCTTGTTGTATTTGGAATTGAAAACAAGGCTTATATACTGACCACTGAATCACATGTCTGTTGCACCAACCTCAACAAAAACTCCTTCATAACTTTTTTTTTTTATGATTTAGTAACAAAGGAAAATAACTGAAGCTACATTGCGACCCCACAATTGTTTATAAAGAGTTATCTCCCCATCTTGTTCATTCTATAGCATCAACAGGATGATTCACCAACAAACTGAGTCAATTTTGATCTTATTTATTCCAAAAAGGACCTCATAAATACCGATCGGGTTTCAGTTAATCATAGTTATACATTTGCTTAAAAAAACTTACTTTTTCTTAATTTCTCGTACTGTTTGGGCGAAATGTGCAGCGCCACCATCTGGCAAATCTGAAATTTAAAAAGAGACAAGTATGTAAGGACAATACCACTCTCCTATTTTGTCCTGAAAAAAGTCCTCCTTAAATAAACTAAACAGAACACACGAGAATAGTTCATGAAATAATTTTGTTTCATAACAGGTTACATTTGTGTACTGAAAATTGATACATTGTACAAGTATAAATAAACATACATGCTGTTTTCAAACTGTCAAATTCATCATCATGATAAAATCACAATGACAGAGTGGGATACCACTAAAAACTATTGAGGGAACTGTTCTAGTTTTTGAAAAGCATGACTGTATCAAATATGAATTGATGTACTATAAAGTTATTTCAGGTAAAAAATTTAAGAGCATTTATTGTCAGATGTTAAGCACATGCATTACACAAAGTAAAATGCTATACTGTTTTTGCAGTCAAAATGTTATTGCAATTCAAGGCATTGTATAACAGGACATTAGTTATATCCCCATTGTATTAAGGCGTATTTGGTAATCTTTCAGCGACTCTTACATTATACTCTTCTAAAATGGAAATAAGTTGGTAAAGAACATAGAAGACTGTGGTGATTCCCAGAACAAAGTTATATCTTTTCTAGGGTTAAGTAGAAAAAAGTAGTAGGTACAAACATCTCAGTTTTTAGTGACATACTTGGTGATTGTCTACGACAGCTGTCACCAGAAATGCAATACTTCATGAAGAATGGACGGATCCCTAATAAATTCTGACCTACCATCTCTGTCTACAGAGGTGAGTACAACATAGTCCAGTCCCCAAGAGGTGATTGCCTTAGCAGTGTTACGTGGCTCCTCTGGATCTGGGGGAGGCGGGTTCCTTGCGGTCTTCACTGAGCAGAAGCGACATCCCCTGGTACATGTGTCTCCCAACACCTGTATAAAAACATGGTTGTTTCAAGGAAAGTATAACAAAGAAAGACAACTCCTTATCATACAGTTCCAGCCAGGTATTTCATCTTTAAAATTTAATGGGATACAAAATATTATATACAGTTCATTATTATAAAATACAACTGATATTGACAGAATGACTTACAACATTGTTATATACATGATACATTTCAGTCTCCTAACTAAGTCTTTGTATATATTACTCTCTCCTCCTCCCCAGCACCCTCCAATAATGTTGGAATACCTACCATTATTGTGGCGGTGGCAGTACCACTCTCTCCTCCTCCCCAGCACTCTACAATAATGTTGGAATACCTACCATTATTGTGGCTGTTGCAGTACCACTCTCCCTTCCTCCCCAGCACTCTCCAACAATGTTGGAATACCTACTATTATTGTGTGGCTGTAGCAGTACCACTCTCCCTTCCTCCCCAGCACTCACCAACAATGTTGGAATACCTACCATTATTGTGGCGGTGGCAGTACCACTCTCTCCTCCTCCCCAGCACTCTACAATAATGTTGGAATACCTACCATTATTGTGGCTGTTGCAGTACCACTCTCCCTTCCTCCCCAGCACTCTCCAACAATGTTGGAATACCTACTATTATTGTGTGGCTGTAGCAGTACCACTCTCCCTTCCTCCCCAGCACTCACCAACAATGTTGGAATACCTACCATTATTGTGGCTGTTGCAGTACCACTCTCCCTTCCTCCCAAGCACTCTCCAATAATGTTGGAATACCTACCATTATTGTGGCTGTTGCAGTACCACTCTCCCTTCCTCCCAAGCACTCTCCAATAATGTTGGAATACCTACCATTATTGTGGCTGTTGCAGTACCACTCTCCCTTCCTCCCAAGCACTCTCCAATAATGTTGGAATACCTACCATTATTGTGGCTGTTGCAGTACCACTCTCCCTTCCTCCCCAGCACTCTCCACAATAATGTTGGAATACCTACCATTATTGTGGCTGTTGCAGTACCACTCTCCCCTCCTCCCCAGCACTCTCCAATGTTAGGACATTTGGCCTCCTCGCATACCTGTCCAATGAAAAACATAGACATGTATATATATATATATATATATATATACCAGATTCAACCATGGCGCTACTATTTAAGAGACCACTGGTTGGCTGAGCTAAAAGGCATCTTGTTGTGTAGAACTATAAAACTATTGAAGAAATCAAGGCGATAACTATTAATATCTATAAAAAATTTTATGACTAGAACTCCAAACAACTGGACAATATCAATGAGATGTAATGACTGATGATATAAGCCTATTTTATGTTAAAATACCTTATTTTTTCTCTCTCTTTTCTCACAAACTAGTAACTAATTTGGTCAATGATGTTATTTTAACCCTTTAAATTTTCTCTAATTAATTGTCATGTAACTTTATAACAACATGAGCAAGAGCTGCATATAATCCATGTTGATAATGTTTCCAAATGCCTAGGATGATACACACTGTGTGGAGCTTGAGTTCCCTGAGGTCTTCCTTCAATCCATGGTAGTTTTTCCCTATGGGTATCTTTGTCTTCAGCCAGGGAGGAAGACGCAGTCTGAAAAATTAATAATATACTGAACAGTTATAATTTACAAGCCTTTCAGGTGGTACTTGGTACACATTTTTGCATTAAATGATAGCCAGTATCTAGAGTAAAACAATTTTTATAGTACTGATCTACATATATCAATATATACACCCATATGTATACCCAGTATATACGTGTAGTTTCAAATTAGGGCAAAACATAACATGGCTAAAATTTTACACTGACACCATCCTTGATACTCCAGAGGTTGTGATCTCTTTCGTTTTCTGCACCCCTGGAACATGTCATGGCAAAATTGAATGTTCTATATGTGATATATTGTGGATAGGAGGAGAAGTCTTGTACATCAAATGAATCTGGAGGTCACATAACAGTATGTTGTAATGGCTTTGAAGTTTATGATGCTCCATTGTAATCTTCAAGAGGTATGTAAAAGCCTGTGATTGGTCAGTTTTTGCTGGAACAGATCAAATTACTTCACTTGTGCCATTGATTATGCCATGACAGTTTCAGGTGTAAAGAGCGAAAGTTATTGTAACCCCTGTAGTATCGAGGATGCTCTGACACATGCAATAATTCTAGTGAATATCAAGTATCAGTAATAGATGTAAGCGATTCACAGAAAAATACGATTTTTTTCTCCCAAAAAAAAAAGAGAAAACATCAGGAACATCTTTCATTTTCAAAGAAAAAACTTCTTGATTTTCCCAATTTATGCAGGAACAAGCTGCTATACAATTTTGGTAGATGAAAATTATTGATGTCAAAAACAAATTAAAATACCTCTCTCCTTTCTTTCTTTTTATATTTGAAGATAGCTGGTGTGAAGCGTCAACATTTCCTGTTACAAAATCCTCAAAGTCTGGTCCTGAGGCAATCTTTTCCTTCTGTTTTTCAGAGAGAGTTGCATAAGATCGAAACGTCTCGCAACATGATACACTCAAGTTCTCTGAAGGTATCTAAAATTAACAAACAAAACTGAAAAAATGTTTTCTTTCCATTGTAAAGTAAATTAGCTAGACAGTATAGTTGCACTCCATTAAGAAATCAGTTTGTAGTTTCAACATTGTTTAATTATTCAAAGCATAAGAGTGCTCATTATACATTTGAAGGAGCACACAACATTACATGAAGTCTATACAATATGTGTAGATATATGGCTCTATTGTGGTTAATGTAAGTTTAGAAAGGACACATGAGTAAAGTGTGGGATAGGGTTTATCTTTTATGTCAATATTTCATGAGTACAGCTTAGTCTATTTCCTAATTAAGTCATTTATTCATAGGTCAGATACATTTAAGTCTATCAGGTACATACTTATTAATTATATACATGTGTTACAGTGTTCTGTTTATGAAGTATCACATACAATCAGTGTTGGTGTACATTGTATAAGTACATAAGTTTCCATTTCATATCCAATCCATAACAGTTACCAAACATGTTTACCAAACCACACAAAATGTGTGATCCTAGTGCACTCCTATTGCACAGTTGTGTGCTAAATACAGTATTTGCTTTGTGTGCATGCTAATCATACATGCTCAATGTGCAATCCATAGTTGTAAAAAGCACTTTCAAATCCACGTTTTTTCTATAGTTTTAATATACTTGTGTCTATACTGCAGGAAATACAGGTAGCTATAACAACATCTGTGTATGAATGAAGTGCCACTTTAATTTTTCACTTAATATTAATGCCATTGCCACACAGCATGATTATCTCGAAATGTTTAAGATATTCACTAATCTGTCCTTATGTTACATTTGGTTGGGATGCCTCATAAACATTGATCAGTATATCTAGCTACTAGTACTTCTACCATATATTGACCTACTTTATCAGGTTTAAGATAATGTCAGAGAAGCTGTAATTTAAGTTTAAATGGATATTCTACACAAGTTGGCAAATTTCTGGCTGTTTTGTTTGTTTTAAGGACTCTTTCTAATCACTATTAAAACTACTGTCAGGATCAAATATTTTTTCTGAAGTCAGTTTGGACAGGTGAAACTGATAGAAATACCACCCCCCTGCTATTATGACATTTTACACTAATATTTCATTCTGTTTGGCTCAATCATGCTTCAGCTAGTACTTGTAAATTAAAGCAACCCTGCTAGATCTATTAAAAATTTCCAAAAATTAAATATCACACGCTTGCACATATGGTAAATTGAGGCATACTACTTCTTTAAGAACATTAGAAGAACCTTAAGTGATTTTTTTTTTTTTTTTTTATAAAAAATACATGAAATCCTAATTTGTGCTGAATACCCCATTAACAATTAACTAGTTGAGTTGAGAGACTGGTAAGGGTACATATATATATATATATGAACGAGATAATCTTGACTGCTGTGTTTGTGGATTGATGATTTTTTGCTCAACCATGAATTGTATTACATGTTTATGTCAATGCTGGTCATGGCAAGGCTAGCCATTGCAAATTGACCAAAAATGACAGTATCAGGAAATCTGTGCTGGTTATGTAAACACATTCCTACACTGCACTTTTTTTTCAAATTGGTGAATATCACATTCCAAAAGGGTCAGGCAAGATAATGATACTAAAGCCTGCATGGACAGACAAGAGATATTAAGTCTCCTGGAAATAAACAGACAACAGGTATTAAGTCTCCTGGAAATAGACAGACAACAGGTATTTAAATCAAGTCTCCTGGAAATGATCTTGTAAGGAAGCTGGAATAGTCATAACCACATCTGAGTATGTGTATCTTCCCTGTCCATGTATGTTTCAAGTGACTATAATATGACAGACTCTGGTGAAATATCCGTTCAATGTCGAGTGAAATTATATAATCTACGATGTGATAATTATATAACTTATCTCTGAAAACAATTGTCAGTTATCCCTTCATCTGTAAAGTCTGAATTGTTCTGACATTCTATCGACACCTAAAAAATAAAACGACGTAGAAATAGCTCTACACACACAATAGCCAATATGACTCGTTTAGAAAAGACCCTAGCATTGTCAGCTTGATGAAGCCAGATAACCCTTATTAAGCTGATGTAACATCAGGATGCCCTTGACAGTAATTAGAAACATATTTGGCCAATATCATCTGTTATCATGATTTAACAAATCTAGAAATAATTGGAGTAATCAACTTAATTTCTGAAATTATATTCATATTTGTGAGTCGTCTGATACATACCACAAAATCCTTGAACTTGCGGACAGTTTTAAATCTATATCGCGACAAGAGACACTTAGAAGCCATTTTCTGCGGTCACAGGTCAAATAAAATATAGTTCCGTAGTGTAGTATTTTCAGTAACGGGTTTATTGTTTTTTGATGTCATTCTTTCAACATAACAAATAGTGTCATAGCAAAGCATATATGTTACATCAGCAAACACAAATCATTACATGGTAAGTCGTAATTACTTTTTTTACCATCTTTTATCTACAAACTATTTATTTCAAGTGCAGCACTTCCGGTCAAACTTTTTTCTTTCGATATCAGTTCCGGGTCATGAGGTCATCAGCTGTGTTTACATACATGTACGACAATACGTATGCTAGTAGTAGTAGTAGCCGGACTTAGTAAAAAGTGTGGTTCTACCGGGTATTCGTTGGAGAGCATCTCAACTATGTTCATGAGACGTTCGATGTTTACAAAATAAGGTAATGTTTCGTTATCCAATATATTTGCAAAGTCGTTCTGTTAAGAAAACGAGAAGATCGATATGTTTCATTGTTTCGCGTGTGCCGTGAACGTACGCTGCCTTTGCCGGTGGCTGTACTTGTGTGAATCATCTTTGTTGTGTATACGATACATGTCAGTGATTTTCACGACTGTAAAAGGTTTGCGTGAGAACCGCTGTTTGATCTGTATCGTACACAACATTTTATTTTTATACTACGATTGTCGATTTGTGTGTGTGTGTGTTTTTATTCACAAGATGTTTTGATGTGAAAATAATGTTCAGTGATGTTCAATTATTTCACACACAAACATCGGATACAACACAGACATATATTGTGATCATTTATTCATTTTGTAATATATGTGTATGCAAAACACGGCATTACAATTAATGAGTTAAAAATTTCAGTTTTATGTAAAACGCATGTCTGTATCAATTAATAAGTAAATCTTATAATTGGCTGTCAGGTTTGAAGGACAATGAATGCTTTAATTCATAGAAACTAACAATACTGCACATGCTCATTAGCTCACCATTGTCTGATGGTGGGCTATTGAAATTGCCCAGTGTCTGTCATTCGTTTGACCATAAATAATTCTGACATATAGTTTGTTAAAGATATCCGGAGAAGTATGTGATGGGTCATTTTCAAATTTCTTATTTGTTTTTTTGGACAATATTTTTGCATAGTTATTTTAGGGATTGATAAAAAAAAAACAAGATGGCCAGCAGGCACCATCTTGGTTTTTGACAGTCATATTTTATAAACATTTCCCAAATATCATACATTTTCTATGTAGGTTCCAGTTGGTTCCTGGTTTTGCACTTTTTGGACTGATCTGTCAGAAATTTTATTTTTTTTTATAATTTAATAATAATTTATTATTAGCCCCAAAATTATAAGGGCATCGTTTAATTAGTCCTAATGGCAATTTATATATGATGTTTGGGAGAGATATTTTCTCAACTTCTGAAGAAATAGAGATAACAATTCTTCAGTCAAAATCAAAGATGGCCACCTGTCAGCCATTTTGTTTATTTTTAATTATAAAAATCCAAGATCAGCATATATCATAATGGAAATAATTGAATTGTAAGTTTTGTATCATGATGCAAATTATATCAGAACTTAACTGCATTGTTATGGCCCAATGGTTATATGTAGTCATTATACTGAGCTATGCTTCATCCTTCTAGACACAACATTTATGATTTATTCATGTTTCTAAAGGTTAAACAACATCAATTGGTATATTTCTGAGTTGTATAAGATATAGTAATGCATCACACTTTAACTCGCTGATAATTTGTAATCGTTGGAGTAAATACAGGAAAAATGTTTTTTATTACTTTGTATTTGCTATTTAGAATTACTACCATACTACAAATATTTGTGTTCATGTTAAAACCCTTGGGATTGAAGGAAAGTTATGCATCATTGCTTGTGAATAAATGTGTTCTCTCTATCGCTTCACAAATTTTTTCATAAATGAAATGTACAATATCTAGAGATCTTTCGGTTGATAAATAGTTTGCATAGTTCATGAATATTAACATTTGATTTGTTTAGATATATCAACAGAAATATTTCTAGTAATAAACAGCTTGCCAACACATTACATTTTAGTTTCCAAATCAAACACACTTATTATAATGACTTTAAGGGATATAAGCATTTGTTAGTACAGCTGTGTTCTGTATTTTTGTATAAATAAAAAAAAACTAGCATAGTCAGCAAATGAGGAGAACTTATCATGAAACCAGTATAGTAGGCTGATGTCGTAAAACCTTTCGTTTTTCAAACACACGTAGCAATTAAATCTGTCCTTCAATATTTACAATGTACATTTGATTGGAATGAAGTTAAAACTTCACAGGACATCAGTACCTATGTTAATATTGTTTGGTTGGTTATCAGGTTTTACTTCTCTGTGACTCCTTCTGTTGCCTGGCATCATCTCACCGACAAATGTCGGTGTTTTGGTGATGTGAGGAAACAACTTGCATCCCCCACAGAGAGGTTGAACTGTCTGTCTGTCGTGGTGTGTGTGTGTATGTGTGCGTGTGTGATAATGCCAGTTTTAGAAGATGGCTCCACAGCCTAATAATGCCTTACCTGTAGTCTAGCAGTCTGAAACATGTTCAGAAGTGGACAGGACGGATTAGGGACCTACATAGATTTGGTTTAGGTTAGAGTAATTTTGAAGTCCATCAAAAAATTGTATGGCCTAACATTATCCCTTAACTCCTGAACCAGCACTATCACAAAAATCCTCAGAGGGATCTTTAGTGTTGGAGTGTGGACAGTCCTCACACAGGCCACCGTTTGAACCTCTGTCTACTGGACTATGGCTAGAAGTAAGTGGTTAGATTAGTGCAGTTGTAGTTATAATTAAGACATGTTTTTTGGTTGTCACACCTTGCATCCTTTCCGACCATTTGACTAAATTATTTTACCACTAACAAATGTCCATTGCTATCTGATAACTGAGATTGAGTTCTGAAAGAGTGAGCATCACTACACATGTAGGATGGTTGGGTTATGTTTTTGGCCATGTGTTTAGTAGGAGTAAAATGTTAATTCTAACTGGTTAAATTTTGAGAGGAAATAGAGTGAAATTGATTGTCTGTATTATCTGTCTGTTTATCCTATAAACTTTTATATACATTCTGTTTTATAACAAGACTTGAATAAAAGAAATATTTGGGATTGGGAAAGAGATAAGGTAGGGTAAGGGTGGGGTCCTTGTCTTGGTCTTGTATAGATTGGATTTGTATCAGTATCTGCTGGTATATGTTTGTTTATTTGTTTACTTGTTTAGGATTTCAATTACATTGCCTTAATCAGTATTTGAATTATGATGTTTGGTTGTTTGTTGTGGACTGATGATCCCTATGTTCTGTGTTAGATAAACAAACCTGTTTTTACTTATTCAAGGATTTGTTTACCTACTTTTAGTGAATCCATATCACACTGGCCAAGATCTCAAACTTGAGACCGTCTGAATGACCAGTTCATTTCCACTGGACCAAGAAGACTCACCTTGACTTGATCTATCAAAATAGGTAGTGTGATGTTAAACTACAAGATTATATTTTGGTCTGTTCTGTGCTAAAATATTTTTTTCCTATATAGATATAGTAGACTAAGCATTTTATATTGTAATTAAGACTTCCATCCATTAAGAGTATTTGAGTATACCATATCTGGGTTTTGAGAAGATGATTTGTGAAATTTTATTCAATGTAACCCCTTCTATTGATTGCCCCTGTGCATACATGTATAAAAGCGATAGTTAAACGAGGCTGGCAGTACAAGTTTCTGTCAATATCTGTGACAGGTGATACACACCAGTTCCTTTTAAAATATAAGTGTTGGCGATATGGAACTGTTATGCCAGAGGGTATTAATAAAAATCAGTTATCAGCATATATCATGACAGGCACTGCCTGTGATTGAGATGGCTCAGGTCTGGCTAGAGCGTTAATGCTTAGGTGAAATATGGTTCAGCTCATTATAAAATTACCTGCCATATGTTAATATGAATCGTCAAACAGAAGTGATTTTGCCAAAAGGTGTCGATAAAACAGAAGCGTGGAGTTCAATTCGCAGGCAGTTAGTGACATGTTATTGATCATTAAGAGGTATTTAATGATTTGCCAATCGATAGATAAAGGTTTTTTCTATAGGTATAAACAGTATTGATAAAAAGTAGTAGTAAAAATGGGGGATATTACCAGAATTCCTGCTTACACAACTGTACGTTTAATTATTGTAAATATCCATGAAAAATTTCCAGATGAAAGTAAGTGGTGCCTTATACAGTGATATACTGGACTCACATTCAAATCCTGGACTAGTGCGTTGACTGTCAAATTTGGGGAACGCATTTCTATCTTACAGAAATGCGATTCATAAAAAATTTTGAAATGGTGTTCTAGATTCGCCAACGAAAATTAATGCTGATAAAATTGAAATGTTCGAATATTGGTAAATACACAACCAAAAGCAGAGGTGAGTTACATCCTAATTATCATGTTCGAAATGTTTTTTCACGTCTTTTTCAAATTCTTTTTAAATATAAGCAAGAAAAGAAAGAAAAATGTACTTTGATGTTTTTGTTAATTTTTTTGGTTAGATATTTAGTATGTAAATTTCTCATTTTACCTTAGTTGTTCCCTTTTTATTCTGGAACTGATCAGAAAAGCAAGATGGCTGACAGGCAGTCATCTTGGATTTTGACTATGGAGGTATTGTTAAGCTACTTCTTGGAAAGCTAGCACTGGATGGATGTTTCTCAGATTCAATGTGTTAATTTCTCCTTAGTGATTCCCTGGTTGTGCTCTTTTGATTTATGGACTGATCTGAAAAGTAAAATAGCTAATAGGCGACCATTGTAGATTTTCACAATGAAAGTATGCAATCCCTATTTCTTGAAAAATTCTTGATAGATATTTCTTATAAGGTTTTAATTTCAGAACTGATCACGAACTCAAAATTGCTGACGGGCAATCATTATCGCTATTTTTTGACAGAATTTTCAATTTTATCCTAACAACATCAGAAGAGA